ACAAATTCAAATACAAAAGTCACATGATCATATCAACAGATGCAGAAAAGTCATTTGGCAAAATCTAACACCTATTTTTGATAAAAACTCTGCAAAGTGTGAATAGAGGGATCATACCTTAACATAATAAAGGCCATATATGACACATCTATAGCCAACATCATACTCAATGAGCAAAAACTAAAACCATTTCCCCTAAGAACAGGAACAAGACAGGGGTGTCCACTTTCCCCACTCCTATTCAACATAGTACTGGAAGTCCTAGCCACAACGATCAGACAAGAAGAAAACATAAAAGGCATCCAAATTGGAAAGGAGGAAGTAAAACTGTCATTATTTGCAAATGACATGATATTGTGCGTAGGATATCCTAAAGACTCTACCGAAAAACTGCTAGATTTAATAAATGAATTAGGCAAGGTAGCAGGATACAAAATTAACACCCAGAAATCAATGGCATTTTTATACACCAATAATGTACTCTCAGAAAGAGAAATTTAAAAAGCAATCTCTTTACCATTGCATCAAAAAAATTAAGATACCTAGGAATAAACTTAACCAAGGAGGTAAAATACCTGTACTTGGTAAACTACAGGACGTTGCAAAAAGAGATAGAGGAAGATATAAACAGGTGGAAGAATATGCCTTTTTCGGAAGAATTAGCATCATTAAAATGTCCATACAGTCTTTTTCGCAACGGGTTTGCTGCCAGAACACAGGTGTTTTGAAAACCACCACTAAACCAAACCCAAAATGGGAAAGGAAAAGACTCATATCAACATTGTCTTCATTGGACACGTAGATTCTGGCAAGTCTACCACTACTGGCCATCTGATCCACAAATGTGGTGAGCGACAAAAGAACCATTGAAAAATTTGAGAAGGAGGCAGCTGAGATGGGGAAGGGTTCCTTCAAGTATGCCTGGGTCTTGGATAAACTGAAAGCTGAACGTGAGCGTGGTATCACCACTGATAACTCCCTGTGAAAATTTGAGACCATCAAGTATTATGTGACCATCATTGATGCCCCAGGACACAGAGAATTCATCAAAAACATGATTACAGGCACATCTCAGGCTGATTGTTCTGTCCTGATTGTTGCTGCTGGTGTTGGTGAATTTGAAGCAAGTATCTCCAAGAATGGGCAGACTCGTGAACATCCCATTCTGGCTACCAGATTTCTTCTTTTCTGTTTTCTTTCTCTGTCTTATTTTGGAGGAGCTCTCACTTCCACTTAATAATTTCTCCCTGTGTTTTTCTAGTTCTTTCTCCCAGTTCTCATTCATTTTTTCTTCAAATTCACCCAATGCCTTGGAGCCATTCCATTTCTTTTCTAGTTGTTCTTTCACTTCTTCCCAGGTAGGCCTTGGTCAATTGTTGGCCCTAAAGACTGGACTGGACCCCTTGATTTGGTCTTTGCTTTGGGTTCAAAGGGACACCCGGTTGTCCCATTTCCCCATGGTGCTGGACTGAGCGCACAGTCAGACTCCGAGGGAGACCGGGCCAGCGAAGCAGCTGAAGTGGGCCCACACTGAACCTTCTGGCGACTTCAAACTTCAAAATTTTTTGTGTGACAAAGTGAGACAGCAACCTACAGAATGGGAGAAAATACTTGCAAGCCATATATCTGATCAGGGGTTGATGTCCAGAATATATAAGGAACTCCTACAACTCAGCAACAAAACTCAATTTAAGTATTTGTAAAGGACTGAAATAGTTATTTCTCCAAAGAAGATATACAAATGACTAACAAGCATATGTTAAAATGATCAAAATCACTAATCAGGAAATGCAATGCAAATCAAAATAATGAGATACCACTTTACACTCATTAGGATGACTATAAAAACAACAAACAAAACAAGTGCTAGTGAGAAATTGGAACCCTGGTATACTGTTGATGGGAATATAAAATGGTGCAACTGCAAAGACAAACAGTATGGAGGTACCTCAAAAAATTAAAAATAGAATTACCATATGATTCAGCAATCTCACTTCTGGAGTTATATATCCAAAATAATTAAAAACAGGACTGAAAAGATATTTGCCTACCCATGTTCATTGTAGCATTATTCACAATAACCAAGAGATAAAAGCAACCCTGTTGTCCATCAATGGATGAACGAATAAAGAAAAAATATATATATATTTACACAAGGGAATATTATTCCACCTTAAAAATAAGGAAATCCTGTCACATACTGCAACATGGGTGAAACTTGAGGACATTATTCTAAATGAAACAAGCCAATGACAAAAATACAGATATTGTGCAATACCAGTTACATGAGGTATCTAAAGTAACACCCTTTGAAACAGAAAATAGATAAGTGGTTGCCAGGGACTAGTGGGAGGAAGAGAAGGGCAGTTCATTTGGTACAGTTATCCCTCTACATTCGAGGAGGATTGGTTCCAGGATACACACACACCCATACCAAAATCCACATGTGCTCCATCCAGTCTCATATAAAATAGTGTAGTATTTGCATATAACCTATGCACATCCTCCCTAATTTAAATTATCTCTAGATTACTTGTAATACCTAATACAATGTAAATGCTCTGTAAGTAGTTGTTAGACTATATTTTTTAGGGAATAATGACATGTTCAGTACAGATGCAACCAATGTAGGCTTGACTACATAGTACACATCAGCGTCAGTGTAACTTTTTATCTGAATATTTTCCATGTCCAGTTGGTTGAATCTGTGGATGCAGAACCCATGGATGCAGAGGTACAACTGTATAGAGATTAAGTTTTGCAAGATGAAAAAGTGCTAGAGAGCTATCGCACAGCAAGCTGCGTATAGTTAACAATACTGTACACTTAAAAATGGTTAAGATGGTAAATTTTGTAGTTTTTGTACAACTATTAAAAGAGAATTATACATCATTTTCTATGAATTAATTTTTAAACAATATTAGAACTGGGTATTAAGCATTTGATTAATTAAAGAGTATTAATTGCCTTTTATTCACTCAGCTATAGATTTCTTTACTGGAGACATTGGGATATTAATAGATTTCATAACATTAAATGGTATTTGCATTGCTGACATAAATCCTACTCATTTATGTAGATAATTTCAATAATTATTTTAATACACTGTTGAAATCAATTTGCTTTCATATCTGAGAATTTTATACTTGATTTTTAAGCAACATTGACCCACATTTTCTTTTTTAAATGTATGCATGTGTGTGTATGTGAAATTGTATATAGTCATCAAATTTTCCACATCTTAGAGGGAAAGCTTTTAGTTTTTCACCATTATGATACTAGCTGTGGGTTTTCATACATAGCCTTTGTTATGTTCCTTCTGTTACTAGCTTGTTGAGTGGTTTTGTCATGAAAGGGTGTTGAATTTTATTGAATGCTTTTTGTACATCAGTTGAGCTGATCATGTGGTTTTTGTCCTTCATTCTGTTAATGTGTTGTGTTACAATAGTTCTTTAATATGATGAAAAACATACACTTTAAGTGCATGATATACAATACACATTGTATAAAATCTTGGGAATCTGAAGCATTGCTTAAGAAATTAAATTATTTGATTTGCCTTTCCTACGGTATACAATACCCAGAATTCAAAGCAAAAGACATTAAAAAAAAGAAACAAATTACAAAAGAAAGAGAAGTGTGCATAGGTAAAAAATGAGAAATCAGTATTTTTTATTTTTTTTTTGGTCATTTTCTTCATTTATAACCTTGAAAATTAGAATTTCTTTTGTTACAAATGCAAAACTAAAACAACGAATTTTCTAAATATTTTTATGACAGTAGTCATCTTTGAACATTAGAAAAATTATATTGATAGGGTGAGCCATGTGAAATTATCGTTTTTCGTATTTCAAAAATAAAATGTTGACAATTTGATATTGTTTACCACACGTGTAAAAGTACCTTAAAAGTACTTGGTAAAATTTCTAGAAGTGTGATTCTGTATAACAGTATTAAAGTACTTTGTCTTGTTTTAACAGATGATACTTGAACTGATATTATCTTTTTTTAGTATTTACTTTTTATAAAAATATGTTTTTATTGATTTTTAGAAAGAGAGGAAGGGAGAGGCATAGAGAGATAGAAACATCAATGAGAGAGAAACATCATCAATCTGCTGCCTCCTGCACGCCCACTACCGGGGATGGAGCCCGCAATCCGGGCATAGGAATCGAACCAGCAACATCTTGGTTCATAGGTGGATGCTTAGCCACTGAGCAGCACCAGCTGGTAGTAGTTACTTTCTAAAACATGTATTCCAACTTGAATGAAAAAATATTGTGCTCAGCTAAATAGTAGTAATTACTGTGACTTAAAAGCAAACAGAACTGTTTCAGGCAGTTGTCTTTTGTAGTTGTGAATTATATCCTGGTGGTTCTTAGTCTGAGAATGCTTTGTCCGTCATTTTGTTAGGGTCACAGAAGTTGTCTTTTTTATATCAAAAGGTGATGATAATAATTGTAATAACTAACATTCATTGAGGGTTTATTACATGTCAGGAACTGTCCCAAGATTTAACTTTTACAGACTTCTTAAATCTTAATAATAATCCTGCAATGTAAAGAAAGGGAGGAAGAGCGGAAGGAAGGGAAGGAAGAAAGGGAAGAAAAGAAAGGAAAGAGAGGTGGAGAGAGAGGAGAGAGGAGAGCGGAGAGAGAGAAAGAGAGAGAGAGAGAGAGAGAGAACACAACAACAACAAAATAATCCTGCAATGCGGGTACTGCTATTTCCATTTAACAGGTGGGAAGGGGTCACAGATGAGTAAGCAACTTGCCCAAATCACGCAGCTAGTAAGTAGCAGAGCACAATGATCATTTTTTACCTGAACATGAGATGTGATTTGAGTGATCTATATATTTCTGCTTAATTACTTAATAATTTCATTGTTTGATAGCTATTTTAGAAATTTTCATTTCAATACATTTTAAATAAATTTTCACATCTTATCCATTATAATTTTAAAAAATTAATGAATAAATCCTTTTTTGGGGGGGTCACAGGATGGACAGTCTGACATTTTATACACATTTTGGAATTCCGTTACTCAAGCACTTTATTCTCGATTTCAAGTGGCAACAAATTGTAAGTATATGATTTATTTTGCAAATTCATTTCTTTTTTTCCTTTTTATTGAATTTATTGGGGTGACACTGGTTAACAAAATTATACAAGTTTCAGTTGCACAGTTCCACAGTGTAAATTCATTTCAAAGTTGGTTAGTTACTTTGAAATTTAATGTCAAGAAATTTTCCTCTGTTGGTTTATAAAATATACTGTCATTTCTTAGGTTAGCCGTATATTCAATTTTATAAGCAATAAGTAAATTTTTTTGCAGTTATTCTCTTGAATAAAATTCATCAAAGAATTCGTTAATTCTCTGTTATTCAAACATAGAGGAATTCTGTCTGAACTTTTCTTATGTGTAGAGGGTGTAAAGCAATTGATGTTCAAGAATTTAATTAATGCTTGTAGAATTATTTTCCTAACTAAAAAATATTAAAATGACAGACTTTATAGCTTTTTCCTTATTGTTAAAAATGAGCATTTAATGAATGAACTGATGAAATACCTGCATCATGAATTAAAAGTTGTTTCTCCAAATATGATTCACAAAACTCTCTTAATTTGTTTTTGCCGTGAAGTAACTGCAGAGGGTAGTTCTAAACAATGAAATATACAAACTAGCTAATATCTTACACGTGTTACTGTCTAATCACTGAATATAAGAGTATTAAGTGTACTTAGGCTTTTTAAAAGCATTTTGAGAGTAAATTTTTATTCACAAACTTTTACTGGAAGTACCTAGTACATAAAAATACTATTTAGTCACTGGCAACACGGGGTTGAATAACCCTCACTACTTGCCTCCCTAGTTCTATTTCTAAAGAAGTATGCTGGAAGGCTCTGCCCTCCATACAAGAGTTCTTCGCTAATGTAGAAGTTAAGCAGAGGGTTTATTTAGGGCTGATTTACTCAACTTCTACAAATCACACTAATCAGAGAATACTTTACACCTCCCTGCATTAGGTATCTGCTTTGGTCAGCTTCTTCTGAGGTATAATTTAATACAGTAAAATTCACCAGTTTTAAGCAGAAAATTCTTTGAGTTTCAACAACCGTTTACATCCCATAGACTCTATCACAATTAAGATATAGAACATTTCCATCACTCCTGAAATTTCCCTCATGTGGTTTTGTAGTTAATCTCCTATTCCCACCTTTTGGCTCCTGGCAACTAATGTCAGTAAGTTAGCTTTTCCTAGATTTTCATTAAACAATCATGCACTATGCATTCTTTTATATCAGCATAATTATTTAAGATTCATCCATGTTGTTGCATATATCAGTAGTCCATTTCCTTTTTATTGCTGATTAGTATTCCATTGTATAGATATAAACAACTTGTTTATCCATCCCTCAGTTGGGGAACAGTTGGGGTGCTACAGTTTTGGGTTATTATGAGTAAAGCTAACTGCAGTCATTTACTGACAGATCTTTTGTATACATATATCTTCATTCTCTTGGGTAAATACATAAGGTTGGGATTTCCTGATAATTTGATAAGTATATGTTTAACTTTGTAAATAATTGCTAAACTATTTTCCAAGATAGATGTACCATTTTGCATTCTCATCAATAATATATGATAATTCCAGTTCTACATTCTTATCAATCCATGATATTGTCAGTCATTTTAATTTTAGCCATTCATGTGAGTGTGTAGTGGATTTTAATTGTGGTTTTAAATTCCTTTAGCCTAAGTACTAATGATGACTATATTTTCACATACTTACCTACCATTTTTATATCTACTTTGGTTACATGTTTGTCAAAATTATTCGCTTTTAGTTTAGTGTTTTGTTTTTTTAAGTTTATTGCTTATTTTCTTATTATTAAGTCTGAAGAGATCTTTATATATTCTAGATTCAAAGTTCTTTTTCAGATGGGTATTTTACAAATATATCCCCCTTGTCCGCGGTTTGCCTTTTCATTGTCTTAACAATATCTTCCAAATGACAGCAGTGTTTAGTTTTGGTAAAGTCACATTTATCAGTTTTTCTTTGTAATTTGTGGGGTTTTGTTTTTAAGGTTTTTTAATCGAAGGAGTCTTTGTCTAACTGAAAGCCAGAAGTATTTCCTTCTATATTTTATTCTAGAAGGATTACTAGGTTCTTTGTAGTTAATTTGTGAATATGATATGGATCTAAAAGTCTGTACTCTGCCTGTTAACTATCCTGACTGCTTTTGTTGAAAATCATGTGGTTATATATGGTAAAACTATTTCTAGACTGTTTTATTCCATTTGTTTGCATGTCTATATTTGTGTAAATACCATATGATTTTAATAATAAAGTATAAGTCCTATTTTAGCTTCTTTATCAAAATAATTTTGCTTATTCTAGGTCCTTTGCATTTCCATATATATTTCAGAATCAGGTTCTTGTTCCTATAAAAATGTCTCCTGGGGTTTTGATTAGGATTGCATTAACTCTACAGAGCAATTTGTAATGAATTGACATCTTAATAATATTGAGTCTCCTCATCTCCATGTGTGCTATATCTTACCATTGATCTAGGTCTTATACACTTTCTCTTACCAATGTTGTATATAGTTTTCAGTCTGCAGATCTAGTAATTCTGTTGTTAAATTTATTATAATTTCATATATTTTGAAGCTATTATTAATGATACTGGTTTTAAATTTTTCTTTATAGTTGTTCATTGTTAGGATATAGAAGTACACTTGTATGCTTGGCTTTGTTAACCTTACTAGTTGTAGTAATTTTTAATTTTTGGAGATTTTTTTTTATGATTTTCTATATTGATGATCAGAAGTTCTGCAAATAAAGACAGTTTACTTCTTTTCCAATCTAGCATCCTTTCCTTTTTTTTTTTTTTTTGGCCTTGATACACTGGCTGGTACCTCTAATATAGTGTAGAATTGAAATAGTTTTTACCTTGTTTATCATCTTAAAGAGAGATCATTCAGTTAACCTTTATATGATTTTAACTGCAGGTTTTACAGTGATGTTCTTAATCAAGATGAAGACGTTCCTTTCTACTTCTTGTTGTTTGAGAGTTTTTATTTTGAAAGTTGTTGATATTTTTCAATGTTTTTCTTCATCCATTTAGATGATCAGATAGTTTTAGTTATTTTAGTCTGTTAATATCATGAATTATGATGTCTTTTTCCAGTTTTAGTATCAGGGTAATACAAACCTCAGAAAATATATTGGAAAGTATTCCCTCCTCTTCAATTTTCTCAAGCAGTTTGTGTAGAATTAGTATTATTTTTTCCTTAAATCTTTGGTAGAATTCACCTAAGAAGTCATATGGGCCTGGACTTTTCTTTGTGGGAAGGTTATAAGTACAAATTCAACTTCTTTCATAGGTATAGTCATTTATTCTTGAATGAGCTTTGGTAGTCTGTGTCTTTCAAATATTTTTTCCAATTTATTGAAGTTTTCTAATTTATTGGCATAAAGTTGCCTTATGCTTCCTTATTATCCTTTGAATGTCTGTAGAATCTGATATGATGTTCCATATCCCATTCCTGATATCATTAGTTCCTTCTCTTTTTTCTTAATTATGACTAGAGTTTTATTAATTTTATTCATCTCAGAAAACATTTCATTTCATTGATTTTTTCTATTTTCTATTTTATTGATTTCTGCTCTTATGTATATTATTCATTTTCTTCTCTTTGCTTTGGGTTTGATTTGCTTGTTTTCTTGTTTATTAAATCTAAGTTTAGGTTATTAATTTAAACCTTCCTTTTCTAATTTAAGTGTTTATGCTGAAATTTTTTCTGCAGTATTTTGGCTACAAATCATTGCACCTTATTATTTTTCCAAACATATAGAAAAGTTAAAAGAGTAGTGAAATAACATCTACATATCTATGTCTTTGATTCAGTAATTACTCATAGTTTTCCAACTAAATGAGCATTTTTAGAGTCTGACATGTTAGCTTGCAAGTTGAAATTCATGAATTATTTTAGGGGGTAGTTTTTAAAATATTCAGGTGTAGTATTATAAAAACATAGTCTTTCACTAGTTCCTAACTTCATATTTGAAAGTAATGGGTTTTCATGAGAATGGTTATCATCATGAAGTTTTCTTCACACTGTAACCCAATTATGTTTAATGGAGTACAATTACTAATATACCAGTAAGAAAATATAGGAGTAAATATTCCAAAAGAGAATTACATGCCAGTATCCCTGATGAACATAGATACTAAAATCCTCAACAAAATATTAACAAATTGGATCTAGCAATATATTAAAAAGATCATACCCCATGACCAAGTGGGATTTATTCCAGGGATGCAAGGCTAGTACACTATTCGCAAATTAATAAACGTGATACATCACATAAACAAATTGAAAGACAAAAATCATATTGCTATGAGAGATATCTGAGATTCTGATATGATCATATCAATAAATACAGAAAAAGCATTCGATAAAACCAAACACCCATTTTTAATAAAAGCTCTCAGTAAAGTGGGAATAGAGGGATCATACTTCAACATAATAAAGGCCATATATGGCAAACCTATAGTCAACATCATACTCAGTGGACAAAAACTAAAACCATTTCCCCTAAGAACAGGAACAAGACAGGGGTGTCTGCTTTCACCACTCTTATTCAACATATCTCTGGAAGTCCTAGCCACAGCAATCAGACAAGAAGAAAACATAAAAGGCATCCAAGTTGGGAAGGAGGAAGCAAAATTGTCATTATTTGCAGATGATGATATTGTACTTAGAAAATCCTAAAGACTCCCCCAAAAACTACTAGATTTAAGAAATGAATTGGCAAGATAGCAGGGTACAAAATTAACACCCAGAAATCAGTGGCATTTTTATACACCAATAATGAACTCTCAGAAAAACTCCAAAAACAATCCCTTTACCATTGCAACTAAAAAAATAAGAAAACTACAGGACTCTGAAAAAAGACATGGAGGAAGATATAAACAAATGGAAAAATATACCATGTTCATGGATTGGAAGACTTAACATCATGAAAATGTCCATACTACCCAAAGCAATCTATAAATTCAGTGCAATCCCT